GTTTTATTTTTATTATTATTATTACTTCAGACACACTAACCAGAAGTCAAAAAACCACATCCATATTAGAAGTACTAATCAAATATCTTTTTTTAATTCAGTAATTTACCCTTGAAAACAACTACATGCTTGATTCACCTTACATGTTTTGCCCCTTAATCAAGTTCTTTCTGATTAACCATAGTCTGTATCATATACGGGGCAAATGATTTAATGTATTTTTAAGTTAAGATCAATTTAGTCATTAAACAATACCTTCACGTATTATCTGCAAATTTTAAACTTGATATTTGACAGGTAAACCGGCAAATCCAACTTTCCATTTTTTTTCCTTTTCATTTTAACTGAATTAAATAGCGAATTCAGGTTTTTTTCCTACAACCAGCCCTTCTACCACACTTTCACTGCCTACATTTTAGTCAACAAATTAGTAAACCAGGTTCGTCCACCTGCATCAGAAAAGTCAGCCTCCCTTAATAGCTGAATCCAGTCTTACAACAAAGATCTTCATTAATAACCAAGTCTCACTCTATACATCCGTTTGTCATTCCTACTGCTTACTTATTGAAAAAAAATCTTTCACTAGCCTCTTCCCAAAAGATTCTGGCCCCAAGAAATAACCTGTCTTTACAAAAATATCATCACAGCACATGCAATCCTTAGTTCCACCTTTCCCCAGCAGTGCACAACCCTTGCAGCCTTTGTTCTAGTTATAAAGCTACTTGTTTTACAATATTGTCTACTGTTTGTATTACAGCAAAGTTACAGTTACACCCACTACTGTGTATATTTTCATACTTACTCTTTTAGGTTATCATAAGCTTCTTCCAGGCGTGCCTTTTCTTTACTAGCACTTAATAACTGTATTTCCCTCTTCTCCAGTTTCTCAGTTAATGAATCAATCATCTGGACAATGTTTTTACAGATAAAGATCAGATGAATGGGACAATTAAAACACAAGAGGGGCAGGCTTCCCCTTTCCCCCCACCATTCCCTCCCAACACTATTTAAAGCTGAACTTGTCAATGTTTTTAGGAATTCAAGGTAAAAGTCAGTGAGGATTACCATGTTTCTGCCACATTCATTTAGAACTAAGCAATATCTAAACACAATACACTTCTTTTCTACAGGTGTAGAAATTCCATGAAGTAAGCACATGTGGCTCAGCTAAGTTCCTCAACAAACTCATCAATAGTTATATTTAATAATAAATGAAGTTTTTAAACAGAGCTAATAGCCTATAAAACTATAGCTAACGTTAACCGTTAGGACTCCCAGTGTCCCTATACCACTCTTTACAGAATCACAGCATAATTTACACTGGAAGGTCTCTTCCATGAAATGTTAGCACAAAGCAGCAAAACTGCATCAAATGAGGAAAGAAAACTCTCAGGCAGCATCAAGAGCTCTCAGCTCACGTGATCAAAATAATTTCTTAATACCAGATTTTGGAAAGCTAAATATAGAGGAATAACATGAACACACATGCAAATACACAAATGTAAACAAATTAAACAGATTCTGCAAGTGTAGCTTAAGATGGCCAACGAAAGACAAAATTTGCTGTGGCCCATTACTACGATTTCCCACAACGTATAAAACCATTCCAGCTAGGAAAACTTATGGATAACAGTCCATGGCTTTGGAGTTCCCCAAGGAATTTAAACAACATACAAAAAAAAGTTTTCCATTAAAAAACATTTTATGAACTCCCATAAGCAATTGCTTTTTCCCTTACTACTGTAGGAAACAGCATCAGTATTGCAAACACGTCTGTGGGGCATGGCCACGAGAAGGGCCCATTTATGTCCCACATGAGGCACACAGACTATGTAAAGCAACATGCAAAGAAACAGAGCAAAGCAAAGGAGCTCAGAAACTAAAAACAAGAATAGAGGGACAGAAAGGTCACAAAGGACATGGAAAAAAGACAGCACGCACAATACATTGGTAGAACTGGACAAAACACACTGCTTGAGAGCTCCAGTGTAGCCTTCCATACACCTCAGCATCCTACTTCATCCCATTTCTGGTCACTCCACCTACCTAAACTAGCCATACAAATTTCTTTTAATCTATCCACTATTCAGACTATGCTTATTCTCTTCATTAAAAAGCCTAGTGTACCTCCTTTTTAAAAGTAAAGATTATTTCTGCTGAAAAAAAAACCATTAATTTACCTCGTAAAAAGGACTTATTTACACTAACTACTGCTGTCCTCAACAAACATGAGTAACACTCCTGGAGTGTTAGTAATTGAATTTTGACAGTTTCTAAGTCTGTGGAAAAAAATGCTTGCAAAATATTATCTTGATTATTGCTGAAATACTAAAGCCCTGTAGATCCATAATTCAAATCAAAATACTTCGAGGAATCTCCTCCACCCTTCACAGAAAAAAAAAAATACACCAAGGAATTAAAACAACACGTTCAATTTATCGAGGCTCCCTGTTTGCTAGCACTGCTCACAATTCACAATAATGATAACTAGGTGGGTTAGGTGAAACCCAAAACTATTTGACCAGAAATTTCACCAGTATCCTTCCGCTGCAGAAGATCAAGGGCAGTCTTCTACAAGGTAAGGTAGCTCAGCATCAATTAATTCATTCGACTATGGTGACGCTAATGCCTATATAAGGAGATGACAGGAGTTTCACTTGTAATTAAAGGGTGTTTTTGCAAAAAAAAAAACCCAAACACCAAACATTGTACAGTTACCTTTTTAAGCTCTTGCTTTTCAGTGTCCTCTTCTAACAATTTTTCAGCAGCATCTTGCTGCGGCTCAGTCTCCTCCTTCACAATCTGTTCTTCAACAGTTTGCACAGTAGCAACCAAAACATCTGGCTGCTCAGAATTAACAGGGGTCGCACTTCTCCCACTCTCTTCCATCTCAGCTTCCTCAGCGTGTAAAACAGGAGCGTCATTCAAGTTTTCAGATTCATTTTTCAGGGCATCAGCCACTTCTGTCTTTGGCGCAGAAGGACTGACAGCAACAGAAGCTGAAGCAGAAGCTGAAGCCCTGCCTGATAACTCGTCATCTGAATTTATTTCACTCACACTCCTGCTATCTAAAGACTGTACACTAAACGAATCGATTCTTTCAAAAGCATCAGAGGAGCAGCCACTCTCGGTCATTTTTTGAAAGTCATCTAAACGATTATAGTCTGCACAGGCCGATGTAGATAAGAGCTGAAACGACGTTTGCATGAGGTGAAGGCTGGATTTTGCATCTGCAGCTTCTTGTCTTGAACTTACCGAGCTCTCACTTATTACACTTTCATGGTCCAGAACTTCAATATCACTAGTTGTGGACGTCCCCGAGGAGAAAGTGCTAATTGGAGGTGAGGGTGTATTGCTTTGCCTGTCCTCAGTCTTTCGCTCCTTAGTCTCCAAACCCACGTCTTTCGCACCCGCAGTAAGGGGCTGCGAAGCGCTGTCTAGGGCGCCTCCTCTTCCATCCCCTCCCACACTGGATTTTTCATTAAGAGCATCTTCAGATACTTCCAAACTCAGAGCAGACACCTTTTTGTCAGTAACTTCATTTGTGCTTTCTTCAGGCTTGGCATTGGAGTTGAGCACAGAATGCTCTTCTGATTTCTCCTTGGGAAGATCAAGGATTTTCAAGTCCACCAGGCCATTTACAGAGGAATCCTTCACTTCTGCCTCTGTTGTCACTGGTGCTTCCAGCTGACTGGGGCGCTGAGACTCCTTCAAAGTGCTTTTCACCTCCTCTTTGGGTCGCTGTGATTTGGCTGGAGGTTTGGACACCACTGGACTTTTCTGTATACTCTGAACCTCTGTCGGAGAGAGAAAGGCACTGAAGAAGTTTTCAGATTCATCTACTACCGTCCTCCTCACTGGCTTCGTGATTGCTGTTGGCGACATTGGCAGATTCTGCGGTTCTGTGTTGGAGCTTAACCCCCAGGAAGATGTATCCCATCCTCCACTTATGAGAGAATTTGTTCCTATAACAATAAAAAATTGTTACAATAAAATGTCTTTTTAGATGCAACAGTTCAGAAAAAAAGTTTCCAGTACCACATAACTTACAGTGAATATAATACATGTTACAAATAGCATCCTTTTCGTTACTACTTCCTTACAAAGCTTGGAAGCGATTTTTAGACAAAGCAAAAGAAGCTTAAGGGAGACACAAAGTAATTCTAAGACTTAAGGTGGACACAGACATGTCTAGAAAGTAGGAGTACCTGAATGGAACCAACTTGCTCCCTCCTGTTAAACAGTAACTCAGGCAAATGCAGAAAGAAACTACACACAAATTACATCAGTAAATCCAAGAGTGAGAATTTCAGAAAGAAGATGGACAGAAGTGTCTGGGAAGGGGAAATAAGCCCACTCAGCACTCCGAGAGCTGTAAGGGCAAGTCTGAAGCCTCTTTGGGCACAAAAAATCAAGCATTTCCTTTGCAAAGGGAACAAGTGAAAGGGAATTGGCCTCCTGCTTCCTATAGCGAGAAGCAGCCAGGCAAAACAATCTGAAAAACTGTACTTTAAAAGTAGAGAATTACAGAGATTACAAAAGGAGAAAAAAATTACTAGGTCTTAAAAGTTATTTGCCAGTAACACACAGACAAACACTTCACACACCATTACAGAAAACAGGGGGGAAAAAAAGCTTTAAATACTTGTAAAATTTACACTATAAGAAGGTTCTTGCCCTTTCAGTCTGTGAGAGGCTTTGTATTTTTCCTCACACACCAAGCAACAGCATGAAGCTGACAATACACACTGTCAGCAGCCCAGCTAAGATGACAGTTTTCTTCTCCTGTGGAGAAATACTGAATTGATTAGTTCTGAAGCTGCCCTAAAGCAACGTCAACAATTCCTTCTATTGTATTTCTTGCAGGTTTTCCAGGACTTGTCAACAGCAAGGAAAACAAGAATTTGAGCATCAAATTTCAATAGGACCTCAAGTAAGAAAGATAAATCAAAGACTATTACCCAATTTTATTTTGTACCTACAAACATAATCTGGATAATGTAACTATTTCAGGCTACTTAAAAACAAGCTCACTTTATACAGCAGCATCTATTAAAAATGCCGACTTATAATATTTAAAGCAGACTGTCATTTTCAGAAACTGTTGATAGCTATTGGCTATCAAGATCTCAAATTCAGATAAGTATAGCTCTCTTTGCCAAAAATACTACAAACCTCTGATTTATTACTACCCTGTCTATGATCTAATAGCTTTAGAAAAAGCCCTGTGAGTGAACTGGAACACTCAGAAAATATTTTGGCTGTTTTTAAAAATAAATATGTTTTCCCTGGAAAACAGATGCAGGCTGATCTTTGCTGCTTTTCTTAGTACTTATGGTAGTTCTGTAATTCATAAGATATTAAAAAACGGTTTGGACAAGTCTAAAGTCTTAAGAAACTAAGCACAACACAGTCTTCTATAAACAATTCCTGTAATTTAAGATGACACTGGACTACTTAAGTGACTGCTGAGCCCTTCTTCCCACAAAGGGCTGAAGACATGCAAAACTGACCCCACGCTTTGCCAAGCAACCAATCTAGAGAACACTTTCAACTGTTACACTTTCAATTTTCAGAAACCTAACTCTGCTGTGGGTATACCTGGCAACAACTTCCTCCTACAAATACATACATTTCTTCTACATACAGTTGCAATCAGGACGCTGATTCCAGATGACTTAGTTTCCCATCCTCTTCTTCATTCATTCTTATCTTTAAGGCATTATTTGGGGGGGAGGGGGAGGGGATGACACGTTTCTAATGAGAGGGCTCCTTTTTGCTGCTCCATTTCCAAACAGCAACTCAGGGCTGATCATTCTCTCAGGTTCTACATCAGGCACACGTACAACAGAGACACTTCCTCATAACCAAGCCGTGACCATTTTTCCACCAACACATTCCTCTCAACAGATGTTCCAGGATGATGAACTTAACGCCACAAGAAGCGGAGACACTTGGTTTACGTGGACCAGACTTTCAGCTTGTGCTCTGCTCTCCCTGTCGCAAGGAGTGAAGTCATGCCTGCCTCAGAAAGACCGTAATTTCCCCTTTTTTATTAACTGAGCGGGTTTTATCACCTATTAGTCCCTCAGCAAAAAAAATAACACCTTGAGAAACACACGTATGAAGCACAGCACTACCCATGCAGTAAAGCACGACACTGGTGGCACCAACCAGGTTCTGCGTGTGCTGCTGAGGCTTCCTCAGCTCTTTGCCAGTGTCACCCCTCCCTCGCCTGTAAGAGGGGAACGAGAAGTCCCCCAGGAGCTGCAGAATGGGTTTCGGAGAAGGAGGGCCGGTTAAACCGCCATGAGTGTAACCCCCGCC